TCTTCTTGTAAAGTTGTAATTATTTTAATTATTTTTATTTCCAAACTGATTTTAACCAGTTCTATAGTAAGGTAACATTCCAATAGACAATATGCAAAGCTTTGTTTTCAGTTTACAGCAGTATTTATTACACAAAATTTAAGTAAAGCTTAACATGCCGATCTTGCCCCGGTCTCCCCTATATATATATATGTGTGTGTATATACGATTCCAATGATTATAAACTGTGTATCACGCGAATTACACACGTACACGCTACTTAGAAATATCAATTTTTTCCTGTTTTGTCACGCGAATAGATAAAAATTTCATTAAATTTCGTATATAAAATTCATAATCTAACGTGACAAAATGGTGTCATTTATCACTGACGAGTGATTTTTTTTTTTTATTTTAAAGAATATTATCCGAAAATGTGTGAAAATATCTTCATACTTTCCAACGAATCCAAGATGGCCGAAGTGTAGTGATTTGTGTAATTTGATAGGCTTTAGATACTATTCTACGTGTTTAATGATTTGCACGATTAAATTAATTATTGAAATTTCAATTAATTTATCTTATAAATTCGCCAAAACGGGAGCTTATTGAAAATTTAATCGTTAATTTCTCCAGGGATAACGACTGAAAATACTGCTGTAAAACGTAAAAATCTCTTTATAATTAATTTTAAAATGTATATACTGTATATAAGAAAATATTTATTTTAATGGTTAGGTAATATGTGTTTTTTAATTATTTTTTTTAAAGAAAAGATTAGATATTCTATATATGATAAAAATGAAAGAGCATTGTCTGATAAACTAACGAAACGTGATCTAAATATACTTATTAATCTCCAATTAAATATTATATTCTATTGATTTAAATTGCACTATAATCAGAATATTATATAACTCAATTCAAGATTTAGAACATGTTTTCTTTAATTATTATTTGTAAAATAGAAAGAACACCGTATGTAATTTAATACATGGAGTATTAAATATACCTGGTCATGTATAAAATACATATTAGACACATAGACGCTTCGTGATTCTATTGGATCTCACTGTATAACATGGGATGAATTTCAAGATTTTTATCTCCTCTTCGACCAATCATGCGTACTATACCAGTATCAAATTACAGATTTATAGATTTATTAGTATCTAAATGTAAATTTGTATGCACGGTTGGTCGAGGAGGGGATAAAAATCCCGAAATTTATCCAAAGTTTTAGATACTATAAAGTGTCACGAAGTGCTTACATGTCTGGTTTCTGTTTTATGCATGACGGAATATGTGTAAAATATATTTTCTATTTAGATAATGGAGAAAAATACGTAAATAAATTGAAGTTTTGGTATAAAAATTGATTAAAATCGTGTAGATTTATTGAATTTTCATTATTTTATAATCTGTAACTAAGAAGGTTAACGATAATTTGCAGAAATAGTCATACAATATTCAGATTACAGAAAAATTACTATCGCTATGCATTCATATGGAGGTTTTTTCTTAATTGTTTTTAAAATTAGCTAATTAATTTTACTAAAAATTAACAATTTACTTAATCAGTTAATTAATTATTTCACAATAAACAATACCCGAGCAATTTCTTCGGCATTGTACTATCAATAAAATTGCCTGAGATACCTCTCATCTGCACTGTAACCGGGACAATAGACATTTTATCGTATATTTTGGTTATCAAAAGGATCTATTTAGTTTTAATCATGTAATATATATTCTCATAAAATAATTATAATCTACAGATTAACATTAAAATATGGGTTAAAAGTAAAGTTATATAATTAATTTATTTGGTGTTTCTATATGATAATCTCTTAGACACTTCTGAGTAGAAAGAAAAATTGCAAGTTATTAATACAAGAAACAACTATTTCTGCACATAAAAATCTATATATTCGTCAAATCGATACACTCTTGACATAAACCTAATGAATCTTTACACTTCCTGAAGCCAATTTATCTTTATTTTCTTTTGCTATCCATATTTATCTATCTGTTTTTCTTGTTTGCATCACTTACTCGGTTAAATATTGTCATAGGACCGAACTTATGAAAGTTTATTGTTGTTTGAATAAAATAATTATATTATTTTTTGAGAAATATTTATTATAAAATATCAAAATTAATTTTTATTTAACATCTTGAGAGATAATGAAGATAGAAAATTAAATTCGAATGTTTATATACTGTATATTTAGGAGGATTTTTCGCAAAATTCAAGATTTTGATGTTTCCTTTTTGATTCGTTCTGTACACGTTTAAGTTATACAAAATGAGCGAAAAATTATACAAATTTACGTTGGAAATAAGAAACTAGAAACATTACTCTCGTTTACGAAGTTAATACAAATTTATAATATGGAGGAGACACATTACGGCCATTTTTCACAGTTTTTATATCAAATTGATATTTAAATTCTATTCTTATTATCTTTAGAAATATATAACGAATTTTACTTCAAAATTCTAAATTAAGGGGCCATCCATTAAATAAGTGTATAGTAAAGGAGAATCGAGAAAAGTATATCATTGTGCACGATAGGTGGGGGGTACAGGCATTGTCTACGTGAAATTTTTTAATGGCATACGAATTTGTTCATCTTTAATAGTCACGTGAAAATATTAGCCTAACTTTTTTCCATTTCTTCCATGCTAGAGGAATTCATGAACTATTGTATACGTGGAGAAGTTGGCCAAAAACTCCCCCTCTTAATTACCTATACAATAATTGATGGATATCCTGGCATGGAAGAAATACAACGCTTTTCGAGCTCTCTCTTCGTTGTATATAACATTGTACACAACAGAGCGAGGGCTGGAAAACTGTACACTTAATTAATGGACGACTCCTTATATAAAAAATTAAAAACCTTTATTTTTCTTTTTAGTTTTAAACTTAAGATTTTGTTTTTATTTGGACCTTTTATATTTTGAAAACTTTCTCTCAAGTTATGAGAAAAATAAGCTTTAAAAATTTTTGTCACGTCATTCGCTTCACTTCCATTTACTTCAACTCCAATTCCCAAGATTTGTCCCGAAAGATAATTCATATCAGCTGTGTCTGCTGATACTTATCTCATCTAACTTTTTTTTTCTCTTATCAAAAAGTTTTATCTGTAAAATATTTGATTCCATATATTAAACTCCAAGGAAAAATATAAGCTGTTAAAATAAAATTAAAAAAGAAAAACTATAATATTATTAAACATATTTATCAGTAAAATATA